ACATGTGAAGAAATGGGTGAAGTACCAGCAGACTTGTGCAGCCTGCAAAACCAGGGGTCACCACCTACACACAGGGCACAGCATGAGGAGAGGACAAAGATATAAAAATACTACTGAACACAGAGGAGTCTCACTCCTAATCAACTATGCAACATTCTGGGGTCTTGGCAGTTGGCTAAGTGCTCTGATGATCAACAACAAATGTGTTCACTGGCACTGTGCCCACATCCTGATCTCAGAGTTGACAGAGTTACAGAGGAGAAGGCTTGTGCTTCCTGAAAAAGAATCCTTTCAAGATGAAGTCCTGTGGGGAGCCCTGTCAAAAGCTTCATTGCTAAAGGTCATCTAGTTAATGACTAAGCTGCAGTTGCCACATTTTCAGAAGGAGATAGAAGAAGCAGCATTACCTTTGAAAATGTAATACAGGCATCCAACAACCATATTAAGGATGCTAAAAATCAGTGACACAGGAAGGCAAAGAACTGATCAATGACACTCTTGCTCAGAAACTGTAAAGCAAGTATAAACTCCCGGTAGCCAAACTACTTGTATCCTCCAGGGCTGATATGCAGAAGTGAGAGCTCAGCCCCTGCGGCTGTTTTTGCCATTTAATTGCATTACAGGCTAACATCAACCTCATTGCTGTTTATCTGCCTTTGATCCTTAGCCCTCAATGCCCATACCTAGCCTAGTACACTACCTGGTGGAAATAGCACCAATTTGCAGATGGCCCCAGATATTTTTCCTTTTCATTTCCCCATAAGGCACTCTCTGGTTCTAAAATTGTTAGCTGCTTTCTGCTATCCCACCCAACTGTGTTATAGAGTCATACAGCATGGAAACAGACCCTTTGGTCCAACTTGTCCATGCTGACCAAGTTTCCCAAACTAAACTAATCCCACTTGCCTGCATTTGACCCATGTCCTTCTAAGTCTTTCCCATTCATGCACCTGTCCAAATATCTAAGTGTTGCAACTGTCTGCACCTACCACTTCCTCTGGCAGTTCATTCCACACATGAACCACCCTCTGTGTGAAAAAGTTGCCCTTCAGGTCTCTTTTTAAATCCTTCTCCTCTCACCTTACAAATGTAACCCCTAGTTTTGAACTCCCCCACCCTAGGGAAAAGATCTTGGCTATTCACCTTATCTGTACCCCTCATGATTTTATGAACCTCTATAATGTCACCTCCTACACTCCTCAACCTCCTACACTCCAGTGAAAAAAGTCCCAGCCTAGTTTTATAACTCAAACCATCCAGTCCCAACAACTCCTGGTAAATCTTTTCTGAAGCCTTTCCAATTTAATAACATCCTATAACAGGGCAATTAGAACTGTACACAGTAGGGCAGAGTGGTAGACATTGTCTACATGGACTTTAGTAAAGCCTTTGACAAGGTTCCACATGATAGAATGATAGTAAAGTTCGATCACATGAGATTCAGGAAGATCTTGCCAATTGGATACAAAGTTGTCTTGACAGTAGGAGACAGAGGGTGGTGGTGGAGGGTTGTTTTCTAGACTGGAGGCCTGTGGTGAGCAGTGTTCCACAGGGATCAGTGACAGGCCCACTGTTGTTTGTCACTTATATAATTGATATGGATGAGAATATAGGAGGCATGGTTAATAAATTTGCAATTGACACAAAAATTAGCAGTACAGTGGACAGTGAAGAAGGTTATCTAAGATTACAAAGAGATCTTGATCAATTGGGCCAATGGGCTGAGGAGTGGCAGATGGGATAAATGTGTGGTATTGCATTTTGGTAAAACTAAGAAGGGCAGGACTTACAGAGGCTAATCAATCATGAAGGGCATCCACAGTCCTATAGTGAACTCACTTTACACTCTTTTCATCAGACTGTTGGGCTGGAATCAGGAATGCGGGTCATGGTGCATCTGTTTGTCTCCTACATCTACTCTCCCAGAACATGAACTCCAGGACCATTTGTGCTACTCTCCCATAGCACGGAAAAGTCAACTAATCTCCCACATTGTGGAACAGGAGTAGCCATTTGGCTCTTGGAGTATATTTTACCATCCAAATGGATCATGGTTGATGTGTATCTCAACTCTGCTTCCCTGCCTTGGCTCCATAACCTTATCTATAAAAGTGCATCAATATCTGTTTTGAAATATTAAATTGACTCCCAACCTCAAGAGCTTTTGGGCAGTGAGTTCCAGATTTCCACTACCCTTTATATGAAGAACTGCTTCCAGGCATCACCCTAATTGCTGAGCTTTAATTTTAAGCTCATTTCCTTTTCTCTGCACTCCCTTCGTCAGATAAAATAGTTGTAAACTATCATATAGGTGGTCTCATCTTGCAAAAAGGTAGCATTTCTGTCTCTGGGCCACAAGGCCTTAATGTTCTATACTCAAGAGAATATAAGCCTAATCTACACAACCTATCCCCACCATTAGATGCTTTTAGAACTAGTATCATTTGGAGCACAGGCCAGTAATAAGGTAAGACATCTGTCACGCCGTAAGGAGAGTTTGCTCTGGATTTCACACTTACAGAACATTGACTAGGGTGGATTTTTCTGGGTTGGAATTGTTTTTGACATGTTGGTGCATTTCTACAAACATCAGGCACCTGGCTGACTAAGCCAACTTCCAATTAACTGCTGTTGTATTTTTCATCAACCTGTTCAGATGTGTTATGACACACCTTAGGAGTAGATGGGACTTGAAAGCAGAGCTTGAATCAGACCCGAGGTAGGGACAATACCACTGTGTCGCAAGAGCCCTTTCAAACTGTGTTTATATAATTTTCCTAATATAGGACAAATGACCAAAGGAACTTTAGAGAGATACTTAGACAATGATAGAGGTTGAGAAGTGGAAGGAGATCTTGGGTGGGAGTGACCAAAGGTTGAGCTGCGGATGTAAATTTTAGAAGTTCTGAGGGAGATTGAGAGTCAGAGAGGTTTAAAGAAAGCATAAAAGATTGACAAATAGAAGACAGAGGTTTGGGAAAAGGGGGTCATTTTCAGGATGGAAACCTGGAATTGGTGGAATGACTCAGTAATCAGTGCAGGGGCTGCAATTATTTATCATATGTTAATGACCTGGATATGGAAAGTGAGTGTTCTATAGCCAATTTTGCAGAAAAAAAAAACAAAAATAGGTGGGAAGGCAATTGGTGAAGATGACACAAAGAATCTACAGAGGGATATAGACAGGTCAAGTGAGTCGCGAAAACTTGGCAGATGGAATATGGTGTGGGAAAATGTGAGGTTATGCACTTTGGCAGGAAGAATAGAAGAGCTGAATATTACTTAAATGGGAAAAGACTGCAGAAAGCTACAGCAGGATTTGGGAGTCCTCACGCATAAAATCCAGCACACAAGTTCAGCCGGTAATGGGAATGATAAATGGAATATTTGCCTTTATTTCAAAGGAAATAGAGTAAAACTACATAAGACACTAGTCAGACCACAGCTGGAATACTGTGAACAGATTTGACCCCCTTATCTAAGGAACGATACATTGGCATTGGAGACAGTCCAGAGAAGGTTCACTAGGCTGACCCTGCATATGGAGAGATTGTAGTGATGGGAATGAGAGGTTGAGTAGGTTGGGCCTGTACTCATTGAAGTTCAGAAAAATGAGAGGAGACATTACTGAAACACAGAAGATTCTTCCCAGATTTGATCCTGTAAAGGCGGAAAGTTGTTTCTGTAGTGGGACAGTCTAGGTCCAGAGGGCATCATCACAGAGTAAAGGGTTGCCCATTTATGACAGAGATGAGGAGGAATTCCTTTTCTTGGAGGGTAGTGAATCTGCGGAAATCTCTATCACAGAGAGCTGGGACATTAAGCATATTCAAGATTGAGATGGATAGATTTTTAATCAGTATGGGAATTAAGGATTACTGTGAAAAGGCAGGAAAGTGAAATTGAGGGTTATCACATGGTCCATGATCTAATTGAAATGTCAGACGCCTGTTCCTATGTAAAACAAGGCTGCAAGCTGTAATATACTGTGGGTGGCATGGTCGAGGTGGGAATGGGACCTTTGCCCCTCAGCAGTGCCAGACCTCAGTAGTGGCCAGTGCCAGGACTGCAAGGAAGTGCACGGCTGAGGGAGACATGGATCTAAGAGAGAGGCAACAAGGTATTGGAAATTGGTGGGGGGTGTGGGGGTGAGTCAGGGAGGTGGGGCTTTGGAGAACAGGTGGTGAGTGAGGATGGTGGTGGTGTCTCATCTGGCTGGGGATAAGGTGGAGCCCCGATGCACAGAGGACACCCTCTGACACAAACAGTCTACACAGACGCCCCAGAAGACATACCCCGACTTCCTACCTGCCTTTGAAACAGTGAAAATGTTTTGCAAACTCAATCCTGCCCATGTGCCTGTGTCCACTGCTTGTGGTGTAGGCAGTACATTTGTTCACTCATTTGACTTGGTAACAAAATCAATTGACCATTTATCATTTGTATAAAATTGGTGGGCGGGCAGTTGATTTCATGTTATAGGGAATCTGCTGGGGGGTGGGGTGTGGTGTAAGAGAAAGGGTGAGGTTGCCAACTCTCGTATTATACATGCCAGTGCAGACTGGAGCTGACATAGATTTTGTTCCCAGCAGTGGATGGGTCAGGGAAGAGGTGGAAATGACAGATTTGGCAGAGGTTGGAGTAGGCAGTTTGTGTGATTAAGTGGGAAGCTCACTCAGAATTGAGCCTGCTTCAGTCTCTGCAAGGGAGCTGGAGCTACACTAAGGGAGCCTTAGTAATGAACTTGGAGCACAGACACTTAAACACCCTCATCATGATGATGAGCTGATCTTTGTGACAAGTAGACACAGCAGACAAGAATGACTCAGGCAACATTGGGTGTAATAGTAATATCTGTCTATGAATTTTTAGACGTTTTTAGAACTTTACAATGATCAAAAGTGGGGAACAATGGTGAGGTAAAGTTATAACCATTTCAACAGAAGAAGTGAATTACAATTTTAAAAGTTCTGAATGAAATATGGCAATTTAGCGGCTAAGCCTTCTGCCAGGGTACATGTGTTGATAGAAGACAGGGTGAGAAATTAAACTTCCTTTTGTAAAGTGACACGAATGTTGCTGAATAATTTGCCCAGCGCTTCATAAAAGGGGTCACAGAAGGTGTGAATGCAGAGAGAGTAGAGCCTACTGAAGCACTGCATTTCAATCAGAAAACTCTTGATGCAGGGTACAATGGTCCAGATGTGACAGAAGGAGAGGCAGGCGAAATAGAGACCCCAGCAGATAGACAGAGGGATTCCGCAGATAGCAGAGAGTACTCGATAGCACCAGTATTTCGACACAGTGAAGGTCGTGAAGCTGACTTTCCACACAGTGTCCAAGCTGTGACTTCCTTCAGGCTCTGCAATCACATCTTCAAAATCTATCTGTGGACACAATAATCACATTTTCAGACTCCTTGTGTCAAACACTGAGCCTCCATTCAACCTGTTTGCTCCAAGTTTAGTTTACAATTTGGGACACTTTTTTGGTCAGATGAACACACAAGTTTGGTTTAAGTACTTGCATGCATTTCAGTGGCAATTAGGATCGTGTAAGTTGATTGAGGGAATTAGAGTAATTTTCCTATTTTGTTACCAGTTAAGGCCAACTGCCTTGGGAAATAAGAGACTACCTGGTATTAATGACCTGCTAACTAAATTATGTTTCAAATTTTTAAGCATTTTAAATGTTAGAAGAGATGGATTGTTTTGTTTGATTTGCAAAACCAACCACTACGAGGTAATGACTAGGTCAAGTGCTGTGACCAATTCTTCTTTTAACACTGGTTTAAGGCTCTGTTTAGTTAACAGTCATAGGGAATAAGCCACTGGTAAGTCTTAATCAGAAGAGGCACTTGTTTTAACAAAGTGCAGTTTGTTGCACTAGAGCAATGGGTAGAAGTTACATTGTCTAGTATGACAGAGCCAGGGATGACACGTCTGACCCCATCGTGATCTCAAGCTAGACACTCAATTCTCCACTGAAGACGACATGACGCTATCAGTCTACTGCAGTCTCCAAAAGTAACCTTATCAGGACCATTATCTTATACAATGTCTCCATCCCAAGCTTTTCTTCCCCATAGTTAACATCAAGCATTCAGTTTTATACAACTTTTACACTTACCACTACCCCATCTCTGCCCAAGTCTCTAACTTCACAAATACTAATGGTTGAATTTTCAGAACTCATTCAGACTTGGACAATTGGTAGGCCTCTAGCTTGAGGATTGTGTAGCATGTACTGACATATGTAGCAAACATTTCATTCAAGACCCTGATGACTGCAGTCCACATCAATAAGGTAAGACCAACCGTCAAACATAAATAGGTTGATTTCCATGGTCTGGTGGGGAAAGCAGTGGGGGATCTCTGCCCCAGCCTGTGAATAGTGAGATGAAGTCCTCACTCTCTTTGAGATCTTTGGACAGCACACAGTCGCCCAAGAACTGGCTTTCCACTTAGTAATCCTCAAGTGTCCTTGGTGTTTCTTGTCTAGGATGTCGTCCCACACTGGAGCTTGAATGACCAGCTTTTCATCGAACACCAGCAAGTCATCTGTAATGATGAAATGCTTTTGATGCTCAAAATGGGCAGCTCACTGGACCTTCAATCTGGCCAGCTTCCAACACAACTGCAATGAATAGCAACATATTCACAATCTTTCTTTTGGCAGGGTTTGTTTCTGATTTGTTAGCCACTGAACCTCTGTAGCCTGAGTGGATGATTCGATTTTGCCTTGAGGGTTGAATTGCTGTTGCCGAGTGAGGCAAAAATGTTGCCAGCCTGTTGACCATGCTAGAAATCTTTTCAGGTTCTGATTTCAGAGTGGGAAACCCCTAAAACAGCCTTTGGCCTCATCTCATCATTGTCAGCAATGCCCCACAAGAAGCAAATAGATTCCTTGGTAAATTGACACATCGTTGAGGGGGAGACCATTAGCTCGATGGCATTTAAGAATTGCTATGGGCCTTCTGATCATGTTCCTTGAACATCTCCCTCTGCATCAGTATGTCATCCATGTGGCATATGACATAACCTAAACCTTGTGATAGAGTCTGTTTTGAAAATCTCTGGGACTGAGGCAATCTGAATAGCAGACTGTTGAAGCAAGGTCTCCCAAATGTAGTAACTAATGTAGTAAGCACACCTAATGACAGCAGCCAGAACCCACTGGTTGGCATTGAGTTTGGTAAAAGAAAACTCTACTTTTTTGGTTAAACTCTCACTAACTGTAGCCATCAGGTGGATTTTCCATGCTAGCACCTTATTGAACTGTGTTGTTAACCCATTTTCTGGTGGACCTATTTGGTTAGGTTTGATAATCTTGCCTGAGCACCTCTCAAATGGTTTGGTCATCTGGGAAATGATGCCCCTTTTGGTAATTTCCTAAAGTTGCATCTCAACTTGGTTTATGAAGGATTTTATAATCTTCCCAGGTGTGTAAAAGCAGAATGAATTTGATTTCTTCCTTAACATGATGTTGCATTCAGTATTCAATTAAATAGAATCAGTGCAGATAGAAGCCATTCAGCCCATTGAGACAGTGCAGAGGAGTGTACCATCCAGACCCAGCCCCCTCCACCCTGTCGCTATAATCCTGCATTTCCCATGGCTAATCCACCTAGCCTGCACATCCCGCAACACTATGGGCAATTTATCATGGCCAATCCACCCTAACCTGCACATCTTTGGACTATGGGAGGAAACTGGTGCACCCGGAGGAAACCCATGCAGACACAAGGAGAACATGCAAACTGTACACAGACAGTCACCCGAGGCTGGAATTGAACCTGGGTCCACAGCACTGTCCCACCGTGCTGCCCCAAATTTGCCAAACTTTAGGGTATCCCATCTCAAAGGAACTTTCACCCCTCAGTTACTCTTGTTTTTTGACCTTTTGATGATGATTAAGGGCAAAACACATCTTCCTGCTCAAGAATGAGCCTTCCTGATAATGAGTATATATTCTCTTCTATCTGACACCCTTTATGTTATCGTATTAATGTTGTTGCATATATTTAATGTTGACAGTTATGCCCTCTATACCATGCAGCTTCACTTCTGTGGACTTCAACTCCTGTATCTGCAGCGATGGTTTTTGATATTCGTCCCTGTATCAAGATTAAAATTAATCAGGTATCCATTAACAAAAATAGATTCTGTCAAACTCTGGATGGTTGAATCAACCATTTCCCCTAGGACTGCCTCAGATATCTTTTCTTGTGCCATAGATGCATAGAGATCTACAGCACAGAAAAAGGCCTTTTGGCCCATTGCACCCACATCAGTCAAAAACAACCAGCTCACTATTCTAATCCCATTTTCCAGCACCTCACCATGTATACCTTGGTATCGCATGTGTATATCTAAATACTTCTTAAATGTTCTTAGTGGTGATCGCTCTACTGGATTGTATTCTTTGCATCTCTCGTCACCACCATTTGTGCTTCCCTGAAAGTGTACCCTACCTCTGCACATCTTCTGGAAGTGACCGATCGTCTTACAGATGCTTTAATCATAGCTGAGCATTGCTAATGCCGTGAGAATTTTCTGCTCCACAGCCCTGACATTGACTCTTAGTATCAGCTGTTTGATCTACTCTTTGTGTTACCTTGTCACATGAATCCTTAGCGTGTTTGTGCAATATAAAATGGGCAGGATCTGTTGATCTCCTGGAAAAGGTTGTGATTCTCCCAGCAGCATTTGTGTGTGAGTCTTCCTGGTTTTTGTTTCCAGCAAAACCTGAATAGCTTTCTCTGGTGTCAAATCTTTTTTGGACAATAATAAATCTTACAAAGATTCATCAATAATTTCAACAGCAATTGTTATAAATTCTGATTTCAAAAAGCCAGTTTTCCACCAATCTGTAGATGTCATTAATGAAATTATCTATGGATTCTGAGCTCCTCTTTGTTCTGATTAAAGTAATTATCAAAATCTTGAAGAAGCTCTTCAAGAGTATCTGTGCCTTCATTTATGTGGTGCCATGTATCTTCTGCATCTATCTGGTGGTGCTGACAGGCCTTAGTTTAACAATTCATCCCAAGGACAGCATCTATGACAGTATAGCACTCCTTCAGTACAGTACTGGAGTGTCAGCACAGATTATAAACTAAAGTCTCTCAGAGTGTGGTTTGAACCCTCAACATTTCTCACATATCTATGAGAGTGCAAAACACTGAGCCACAGCTATCAACTTGAAGTATCAAGTAGTTGTTTCAGGAGGTACATTTACTTTGAAGTTCTAGCAGGCCCTAGTCTTCTAAGATCAGCTTCACAGAGTCATTGAGTTGTACAGCATGCCGACCAGATATCCTAAATTAATCAAATGCTAGCATTTGGTTCTTTAAACCCTTCCTATTCATGTACCCATCTAGTTCTGGTCTGTCACAAAAGCAAAATGGGTAAGAGAGCCAATCCATGGCTTACAAAGGAAATAACAGTTAGGATCCAATCCAAGGAAGAAGCATACAGATTGGCCAAGAAAAATAATAAATCTGAGGATTGGGAGCAAAGAAGGACTAACGGATTAATTAAGAAGGGGAAATAGAGTATAAAAGTAAGCTTGCAGGGAACATAAAGACTAACGCTAAGAGTTTCTATAGGTACATGAGGAGAAAGAGATTGGTAAAGACAAATGTGGGTCCCCTACATACAGAAACAGAGGACAAAGAAATGGCTGAGGAACTGAATACATATTTTGATTCTGTCTTCACAAAAGAGGACACAAATTAGACACCAGAATTGTTGGAGGATGCAATATTTAGTGAGAGGGAAGAACTGAGAATGATCAATATTAGTAGAGACATGGTGCTGGGAAAATTGTTGGATTTGAAGGCTGATAAATCCCCACGGCCTGATAATCTACATCCCAGAGTACTTAAGGAAGTTGCTCTAGAAATAGTGGATGCATTGGTGGTCATCTTCTAGGATTCTATAGACTCTGGAACAGTCCCTGCAGATTGGAGGGTGGCTAATGTCACTCCAGTATTCAAAGAGGGATGTAGAGAGAAAACAGGGAATTATTGACCGTGAGCCTAACATTGGTAGTGGGGAAAATTTTCAAATTCATCATCAAGGATTTAATAGCAGAGCATTTAGATTGCAGTGGCAGGATCAGACCCAGTCAGCATGGATTTATGAAGGGGAAATCATACTTGACAAATCTATTGGAATTCTATGAAGATATAACTAGTAGAGTTGACAAAGGGAGGCCAGGTGATGTAGTATATTTGGACTTTCAGAAAGTGTTTGACAAAGTCCCACGTAAGAGATTAATGTGCAAGATTAAAGTGCATGGAATTGGGGGAAGTGTATTGAGCTGGATAGGAAACCGGTTGGCAGAGAGGAAAGAAAGTGTAGGAATTAATGGGTCCTTTTCA